GGCTGAGCAATAGCTGGGAACTCGTTGTAGATTAGGTTAATTAAGCTCCCTTGTGACCTGAGGGTCTGGTCATCTCATTCTCGTGGTCCCCTTGAGACGCCCGCTTGGTTCATGAATAGTTCTGGTGCTTTGGAAGGCGGTTCATGAAAAGAACAACCGAAGCTGTAACAGCCCAAATAAGTATCAGCTCGGATCTGCCAGTGAACTCCAAGTCGACGAAAGAATGGTTGCATCGGTGCCTCTTCGGTTCGTCGAGGCACTCGGAAGTGGAAGCCTCAAGGCACCCCAAATACATATGTACACTACACGTGTAGTGAGGTGACACTGAAAAGCATCAGGTGGAGCACATGCGTACCTACCTAAGCTTCGCGCTTTTCATTGGTAGATCTGTGTTAGAGCATGGCGCCCCCTTGCTCGCCCCATCATGTGGCCCGCTCACGAACCACTTTTCTGACTGTAGGCTAACGGCCATGTCCCCTGTGAACCCTGGACGACACTCTGGGAGTCTTATTAGGCGCATTATTCCTCATCAGGACCTCGTCACTTTCTTCTGACTTTTACACGACAACAACCACCTGGAACACGTCTATTCAGCCTATCGCGTAGCTTCCAGTTCTCAGCCTTAACTTCCACTTGATCGGCTACTGAATCAAACTTCCTGCACGTCATCGTCCTGGAAGCCTCCTCTTGTTAGCTATCAACACACCCCTTTGCGCGCGCCGCTCATCGTCGCTTGTTGCAAGCGGAAACCACCTCGAAAACTCAATCCCAAAACAAGGAATACGAGCGCGCGCTTGTCTACCATACTCTTCCTCTTCGTCTTTGGGGTTGGAGTTTTCCAAGACGCCTACACTACACTATACATCTCGCGACCTCCTTGGAGACTGTGACCTGCGCTTCAGATCATCTAATCAAGATGCTGCTACCTTCAGCCTTTGGTTGTGACTTGTCGCAACTTCCACAAACACGACCTCAGCAACCTCTTTTCGTCTCACCTCCTGCCAGTCCTAAACAAGCGCCTGCTTCAGCTGATTTGAATAACCTCTTTACCACGTCTCGGTCTTTGCAGTTTCTCATGACCTCCTCCGATCCCTTCCTCGAGCACAGCAGCATGAGCCCGGCGATCGCAACGCAGCCTATTACTCCCCAAACGATATCCCATGGGCAACTACTCACCCCGCCCATGTCCCACGCGATGCCTCCGGTGAAGCTACGTCTGCGCGCAAGAAAAACCTCCGAGTCATACGGATCTAGGAATGCCGATCAGCCTTCCCAGCGCAAGCGCATCATCAAGCGGCCACCTCCGTTAAAGGGGCTCAATAGGCGCCACCGCGCATTTGACGACAAACGTGGACGAGAAGAAAGCAATGAACAAGATTCAGATCAATACCAAGATCACGACAGGAACCAGCGCAACAATCAGCTGCAACAAGCTCAACAGCAGCCGCAGCGGCAAACGCAACAACAACAACAACAACGAGTGACGACGCCTTCTGTACCACCCCAGTTGCTCCCACCATTTGGCAGCCGACCACAAACCCCCCCACGGTCGCGTATAGCTCCAGAAATCATCCCTCTTGGGCTCGACCATTCGGACTATCACGCGCTCCACGCCGACAATGCGAACGAGAGCCAACAAGCTACCGCGCCAGGAACCGACGTAATCGTAGAAGATGGAGAGCCGTGGAGCTCCGAGGAGGATAGTATTCTTATTGAGCTAGTGCTGGACAAGCTCAAGCTTACAAAATCCGATTGGCAAGATTGCGCGCGCAGCATGGGCAAAGACCGCAAGAGCGTGGGAACGCGATGGAAAAGCTTGATGGTCAGTGGAGACGTGGGCCTCAAATCTAACAGCAGTCGACGGAGTGGGATTCACGGAACCTGGCGTTGAGATTCCCCATGTCCTCTTTGCAACTTTCTACTTTGTCATATTCCTTGCCACCACTAATTTCTGCCGTGGGGCCTGATATATCCACGTTGCTATTTTTACTTACTGCTATACTCGTCGGCGTGGGAACCCAGGGATTTTAGGGAAATGAGGACAGGCTGCAGTAAGAGTTTTCATCATCAGGACCATCTACACATGCATTCTTGGGCGTTGGAGGTTACCCTTTTGTTGCCATTTATAACTTTGCTTTTGGGGGAAGAGACTGGTCAGCTTTCATGGATGGGGCGTACAAATCTGACACCAGACAGATCAGCCACACGGACAAAAGATTTGCTTACTCCTGATTAGAGCTACTAGGACATATCATGGCTGGGAGACGTTTCTTCTACGTTTTTGTCCAACAACAACGCGCAATCCACGTTGCTTTTTCACTCAGACGACTGTCACTTCATCTACTGTGCCGCTCCTTGATGTTTACGTCCATGTTTTACCAACCCGTTGTTCCGAATCCAGATCCAGCTCGTCGTGGCTACTCAGCGGTTGTTGGTTCTTTGCTGTGTATCTTGGTGAGACGTCAAGACACACTCCAACCCCCTACATATGTCCTAGTAGACTTGCTGCAAATATTCGAGCGCGCTTTTAGGAACCCGCTTCTGGATCGTAGGCAAGGGATGAAGTTGGCGGTGCAGTACCCGGCTGAGGCCGAATCCCCAACCACCCACACAACGCACACACAAGCCCGATGATCTCAAGCAAGTCTCGATTTCTTTTTGCTTTTTACATTTATCAACGATCAGCGACTAGTTTATACTAGTCGGGTGGCTCCCATGACTGTGGTTCGTTAAATTTTATGGCTAAATGAAGGGAGCCTTTTTCTTTCCCTACCCCTGGTGACTAGGGTATTATATGAGGTTACTAGATCTAGACCTCAGCCAACCGCGGGAGAGAAGCATGAGAAATATCATGACTTGACATGCAAACACGGCAAGTTCCTTGACGATGGTGAATAGGACCCTTGTTGGTGATGGTGATGGTGACCCAAGTTGCCAAAGGGGAGTCAAAAGAAGAAGACTAATACTGGCCGCCGTTGGGAGTGTCCGAAGGGAAGATCCATTGTGCGGTCAAGACTGAAATACATAGCACCAACCGACCGCTCAACAGGCTAAGGATACAGGGTTCCCTGATAAACTAAACAATTCTCCATCCACCCTTGTCATGATGGGTAAATGCATGGGAAAGGTGATGTGATGTGAAACACAATAGTAACAACAACAGTCCAGGGAGCGACCACCGGGAACCGGGGACAGCCAGTTTAGAAAAAGAAAAAAAGAAGTGAGGAAGAAAATGAAAGACAACATCAAGTGAGCATACCCCCTTGCCTGTCCCCTCCCTTGTCCTCCTTCCATGTCTCGCGCTTATCGGCAACATCTCCCGCTTACCTGCTCTCTTCTTCCCTTCACCCACAGGCCCGTCCTACGGTGAGACCCCTCTTTCTTTTCCTTTTTTTTTTCTTTTTTTTTTTTCTTGTTTTTCGGGTTCAACAGTGTTTCAAATCCCAGGTTTCATTTTTCACCTGTCCCCTGGGTTCTTGGTAAGACATAAAGGAATGTCCTGAACACATATGTGTGTCTCGCCATGTACACTATCTATATTTGATGGGATGCTAGATGGTAACTGCTCGCCTGAATAATTTGTTGCATTATCACTCCTCTCGGCAAGTTTACCTTTTTTTTTCTTCTTGTTTTTCTTGGCACACCATGGAGATTTTCCCGTACCATGTAGTAGCTGCCGTGGTAACTAGGGCATTGTTTCCTATGATCGATATTATGCAACCTACAAAGGATGCAACAGACACTAGATCTTGAATAGTGACCTTCATTGAGCCGGTCCCTAAATTAGTTACCTAGTCTGTAGAAAGATACCTAAGCATTCCTCGGCCACGTCAAGGTTAAACAGCCAACCAAAGCCGGGCCAGAATAATGGTGCAAGCAGATGATACTTCAAGAGACTTTGACGTGATGCGGTAATCAGCTTCCAATTCTATCACCTCAACGCCGAGGATGGTGGGTGCCTTATCAGATGGTCCTCAATTAACATGTGTCTCCCAACTCGCATTGCCAACAACATCAAACATTCAGTGCTTCCACCCCAGAACCCCAACCTAGACACAGAGAAACGAGGCCACTTCATTCTGAACATCCCTAACCACTCCTTCAACTCAATGGGAATTAAAAAAAAAAAAAAAAGCTAAGTCGTCGAGATAGGCTTGTAAAACCAACGACAACGCCCCAGCTGCAGAGCTACGAAAACCGCCATGCACGTTTTCATCAACGGGAAGTACACTACACCATAAGACCACAGGGCCTGCTGTGATAGAGGGTCAGATAGCGGACCTCGCATGCCCGCTGGTGCTTGTTGCCTGGGCCTGGGCCAGGACCAGTCTGGGAAAGGCGCGGGCTGGGCAGGTATCATGTCGTCCAATGTCCAAGAAGGGCATGCCGAGCATAAAGAAGATCAAGGAGGAGGGGCGTGTCGGCTTAGGTGTCTGATTGTTGATGACTCGGTCAGTGAGAAAGGAGTTGAAGGCAAGCTGTTCGCGGCGGCGATGGTGTTCGTGACGGAGGCTGGGTTTTTGAAGTGTAGATTAACGACGTCGGGGGGAGCTGGAGGCGGCGAGAAGGTTGGTTGAGCATAGAACTAAGGGGTTTGTGGTGGTAGTGGTGGTGGTGGAGGAGGAGGAGGAGGAGGAGGAGGAGGAGGGGGAGGAGAAGAGCGAGGAGTATGTGGGGGAGGATGATGGAAGGAAACAGATTTTGAGAGGGGTGAAGTATGCTCGGCGGAGGGATGTGGTAGTGCTCCCCGGAGGGGAAGCGGGCAGACACCGGAACAGAAGTGATTGTTGGTTGAAATTGATGTCTTTTTGGTTTCCCTCGTGGTAAGCAAGTTATGTGCTTTCATATCATTGTGATATCTGTAGTGCCGACGAGAAGGTCCAAGAGGCTGGCACATGAGATGCCCCAGAAATCTCAAGATCCGAATGAGGCTCTCCCACAGGGATATGATATGCGCTTGTTCTTCTGCTCCATGTGGGTGGCTAACCCAACGCAACTCGTCATACCCAGCAGACCTTCCCCAACACCCATCTCAACGCCCACCAAGCTCCCCATATCGCAACCATGCCCGCGAGCACAAGACTTGCAACCACAGTACGCCGCATCTGAAAGGCGTCATCAGCTTCCATGGCCATGAGTTTTCGCTGCTTGCTGTGATAATAGCCGTCGATATCCTCGACTGGTTTACCGTTCTCGTCCACGGCAGTGTAGTGATATGGGCGATACTTGTAAACTATGCGATGAAGCCATGGAGGCAGCCTGCTAGGCTGTCTTTCGGCGTGATAGTGAGAGCGATGCATAGAGTACTTCAGATCGACAATGGCAAGAGATATAATGAAGGATACGAAGATGATCGGAGTCATGACCACCTTGGAGGTTTGTGTTAGTGAATCTGATTTAGGCTGTGCATGGGGTCACTCGTCACTCACCTTGTATAACGCGGACTGGCGCCTGGTGTCGGGCTTTGCATCGCCTCGATTGCCACTGACGGGCACGGGGGGGTTGGACATAATGTATGGGATACCGGGTGCAGGATTGAAAAATTGTTATATGCGGGTTGTTGGGGTTGATATTTTTGAAGCTCGATGATGCAGGTTGAAAGCAGGTTCAAGACATGAAAATGCAAGAACCCGCACTTAGCAATGGTTGAGACCTAATTCTAACTGAAGCTAGCGTGTCGTATGTGGAGTTGATGCTGAGTTTTTGCAGGTGAACTGGATGGTGGGAAATGCCCGCCGAGCTTCGCAAAGTTGATGCTGACGTTACATGTTGGTTGTTATGGTGTAAATACCTTATACTGCACAATTTGCTAGCGAATCAGTCCGGATCTTGTTGCTTTCACATGACCCCAAACTGCTGCCTATCAACAAGCATTCAGGTCTACGAATGCCCACTACCTGTTGACGCATACATGACATCGATCACCGCAAGCAGGTCTATACGTGTCTATGCAATTGCAAACAATGAACCAGGACTGAAGAAGCAATCGGATGGGAGACTGGTGCAATTCATGCTTGGCGCGGCCCGGTCTGATCGGCCTGAACCGAGAGATCGCGGCGCCCCCGGATGCCGGATCATCGGGAGGGGAACGGATGAGCGTTAAACGTTGGGAGTGGGCCGAATCAACGTCACAGGTGCCAATCTCCAAATGCCGTCATCAGGTTGATTTCACTCATCTCTCATTTGTAGCTGACGAAAACAACGCTGCTTCCCTGTTTTCACTTGCTTGCTGCCTGTGCATTTAGGGGAGGGCAATGCACTCAATCTCAACATCGACACCCTTGGGAAGCTGGTAAACAGCAACGCAGCTGCGAGCAGGCTTGTGGGTGAACCACTTGGAGTACTCCTCGTTCATGGCCTGAAGAGCGTTTAGTAGATTGCGAGGTCAAGACGAGGCTCAGACTAAGTAAAGACTCACAGCAAAGTTGCTCATGTCAGTAAGGAAGGCATTGACCTTGACGACCTTCTCGATGGACGAGCCAGCGGCCTCAAGGACAGCCTTGAGGTTCTTGATGCAGGCGGCAGTCTTCTCCTGGATGGTACCCTCGACGAGGTTGCCCTCAGAGTCGCAGGGGATCTGGCCAGAGCAGTAGATGGCAGCGGGGGTCTTGATGGCGTGAGAGTAGGGACCGGCAGCTAGATACAGTTCAAGACAGGTTAGTCATCACCGAACTGGTGAGTCTTGATACATCCCAGAGCACGTACGAGGAGCGGCGTCCTTGGAGAAGACAGGAGTGGCAGACATGGTGACTGTGCGGTAGAGGGTCGGAATGGGACTGGTTGTTATGAAGATGGCGGCGGAAGAGATGGATGGTGAAAAGATCACTCTGGAAGCACGTTTGGCAGCAATGGCAAACATCAGGTCAATTGAGATAGAAAAACCATTTGTGGGTCACCAGCTGCTATGTGCTAGGTAATCGTCTCCAAACTGCATGACCATTGACACTGTGGATGCAGAGTCCAGTTCCCAAGTTACCGATAAAATATCGTTACACAATGGACTTCATCGCCTCCGTTCTTCGGACTCTTCCTCTATTCTGGAAGGGTTCGTGGGGCATCAACCCCGCATTCCGTCGCCGGTTAGCAGAGGCCTTGTACCTGGTACCTGGGCCGGGCCGTAAGGTTCGGGGACCTTTTGCGCCGAGATGAGCCAAGTTGCCAACGGCCACTTTCTCGGTCATTGCTTCCGCTGAAGAGGAAGGGCGGGAGCTTGGACCATCGTCCAATACCCGGGGAACAGCCTCGAGAGGCGGGGATCGAGGTGTACATACCTCATTATCTCAGGGACTCGGACCAGGGCGCTGCACGCTGGTAACTTATCGTTGTACTGGCTACTGTAAGGTGAATCTTGTTAGAGGTAGTGTACATAATGGGCGCAAGCCAGATAAATATACAGTAGGCCACGGAGGTCGAACTATCCACATGAAATTTCAATCCAATACACCCGGTCAGGGTTGCCCTGCCAAAGAGAAGACGTCTGAGCCTCTGCACCGGCACAATACAAAGCGGGTGTCCCCTACTGCGTACACCAAAACAGCCGTAATGGACCCCTGGGCCTCGTGTGGGCCCGCCGCTGCCAGCCTCTAGGTACCTCTGTAGGTACCTCTACAAATTGAGATTGAATGTCGCGTAGGTTGTCACGCTCGCTCCTGGCTGCTGGGAACTTGAAAAGCTGCCACTTTACCTTAGTTGTATCTCCTTGCGTGCGTACGTACCTCAACCTGCCCGCTGCACCTCACGCTCCCGCAACCCTGCTCATCTACCCTCGAGCCTTGCCTTCTGCCTTGCGCCCCTGTCCGCCTGTCAAGAAGACGATTCAGCTGTCCGTTTCATTGGATCCCGTAGGGCCACCTTGTTCTTTGCAAATGCAACTTCCACCTCCCACCTTCTCTCGCGTACGCCCGTGGTTCAAGACGTCTGTTGCCGTCGGTGTGGCCGAAGCCTTCTTTTTTATTCCCGTCACCAGTATTGTGCAAACACTCTATTACAAGGCAACGGGCAAGTTCGATCCCTCGCGTCTAACCGCCCAAGAGTACGGGAGACTTGCTCTTCACGGTACGTCATGAGGCTCCAGTCCATCCATCTCCGTCACCATCGATGCTGGCCCTGTCTCCTAACAACATCAATCAATCTTTGAATAGGCCACGTCTGAGTCCATAACCACTTCGACCGGCCGCCATGGCCTCCACAACAGCAACCCCCGAGGCCACTCTACGCCAGAGGAACGTGCCAGCCTCGAGTAAGAAAGCCAAGAATGGCGTTTCCTCTGATGTCGAAACCGACAAGGTTCCGGATGCCGTCGCTCCAGCTAAATCTGGCTCCGAACTCGAATATAAACTTGCTCTTGTCCTCATCACCGGCTTGGCGTTCCTTACCAGATTCTGGGGCATCAGCCATCCCGATGAGGTCGTGTTCGACGAAGTCCATTTTGGAAAGGTACTTTGATGACCCGGGTGCACCGTATATCCACTGGCCATGGCTGACATGAGCCGTCACACAGTTCGCGTCCTATTATCTCGAGAGAACATACTTTTTTGATGTGCACCCTCCCTTTGGCAAGCTTCTCTTTGCCTTCATGGGCTGGTTGGTCGGCTATGATGGCCACTTCCACTTCGAGAACATTGGCGATTCCTACATCCGCAACAAGGTCCCTTATGTCGCCTTTCGCTCTCTTCCCGCCATTCTCGGTGCTCTCACCGTCTCGGTTGTCTATATGATCATGTGGGAGTCGGGTTATAGCCTTCCAGCTTGTCTGATTGCCGCCGGTCTTGTCCTCCTCGACAACGCTCACATTGGCCAGACTCGCCTGATTCTCCTCGATGCCACCCTGGTCTTTGCTATGGCGTGCAGCTTGCTCTGCTATATCAAGTTCCACAAGCTGAGGCACGAGCCCTTCTCCAGGAAGTGGTGGAAATGGCTGATCCTGACTGGCTTCGCCCTTTCTTGCGATATCTCCACCAAGTATGTCGGCCTCTTCGCCTTCATCACGATTGGTTCTGCCGTATGCATCGACTTGTGGGATCTTTTGGACATCAAGCGTCCCGGTGGCGCTCTGACTCTGCCCCAGTTTGGCAAGCACTTTGCGGCTAGGGCTTTTGGTCTGATCATCATGCCCTTCATCTTTTACCTCTTCTGGTTCCAAGTTCACTTCTCGATCCTCACTCGCTCTGGACCTGGCGATGACTTTATGACCCCCGAGTTCCAGGAGACCCTCAGTGACAACATCATGCTCGCCAACGCCGTCACCATTGATTACTATGACACCATCAGCATCAGGCACAAGGAGACCAAGGCCTACCTTCACAGCCACCCGGACAAGTACCCGCTGAGATATGACGATGGCCGTGTGTCGAGCCAGGGTCAACAGGTGACTGGCTACCCTTTCAACGATACCAACAACTACTGGCAGATCCTTCCCCCTGGCCCTGACGATCAGAAGCTCGGTCATCCCATCAAGAACCATGATCTCGTGAGGCTTCGCCACATTGTTACGGATACCATCCTGCTCTCTCACGATGTTGCTTCTCCTTACTATCCTACCAATCAAGAATTCACCACCGTCTCCATTGGAGATGCCTATGGCGACCGCGCGGCTGATACTCTTTTTGAAATTCGTATCGAGCATGGAAAGGCCAACCAGGAATTCAAAAGTATTTCCAGCCACTTCAAGCTGATCCACAACCCGAGCAAGGTTGCCATGTGGACTCACTCGAAGCCACTCCCAGAATGGGGTCACAAGCAACAGGAGATCAACGGCAACAAGCAACTGGCACAGAGCTCCAACGTCTGGCTTGTTGAGGACATTGTGTCTCTGCCCGCGGATCACGCGCGCCGTGAGAAGGCTGAGAAGAAGGTCAAGACTCTTCCGTTCCTGCGCAAGTGGTTCGAGCTGCAGCGGTCGATGTTCTGGCACAACAACCAGCTCACCAGTAGCCATCCCTATGCCTCTCTGCCGTACCAGTGGCCTTTCCTATTGCGTGGCGTGAGCTTCTGGACGCAGAACGATACTCGCCAGCAGATCTACTTCCTTGGTAATCCCATCGGATGGTGGCTCGCTAGCAGTGTCTTGGCTATCTATGCCGGAATTGTCCTGGCAGATCAGTTCTCGCTCCGCCGTGGGCTCGACGCCATGGATCGTCGTAAGTACCCTTGCACTTCTCGTTGTTATGATGACTGTGATTTGAAACATGAGGCTAATCTGGACATACTAGGTACCCGATCCCGCTTGTACAACTCTACTGGTTTCTTCTTCCTCGCCTGGGCAACTCACTACTTCCCCTTCTTCGTCATGGGCCGTCAGCTCTTCTTGCATCATTATCTACCGGCTCACCTTGCCTCGGCACTTGTTACTGGCTCGGTGGTGGAGTTCCTCTTCAGCACCGACTCAGCGGAGCCTGAGTACCAGCCCAGCAAGTCGGGTAAGAAGGTCGCTCCTACCACCAAGCGCCGCTTGAGTGCCCGCGAGCGTCTTGCTGGCCAGAGCATGGCTGGCGCCTGGATCGCGACTGCTGTCATCATGGTCCTTGTCGCCTTTGGCTGGTACTTCTTCTTGCCCTTGACCTACGGATATCCTGGGTTGACCGCTCCCGAGGTTAACCGGAGGAAGTGGCTGGGCTACGACCTTCACTTCGCCAAGTAGAGTAGACCCATTGTCACTTGACAAAACCATACAGATGTATGTGCACAGGAGACTGTGAGTGTACAGTAGAGTTGTGTTTGAGTGTGTAATAGTGCGAAAATGGGGGAAGTGGTAAGGTGGCGTGTAGGCGTTTCCAGCTCAATCTGAGCACATCAATGTGCGGACTAATATTGGCATGCGAGCAAGATTTAGAGCTGGAACTGATCTCAAAGTCTTGTTACCTTCCTATGTCTGATACGGATTTAGAGCTATTCTCACCATAGATCAAAATCAAATCCGATTACTGCAAGATCCTGATTTAGTATATGCCTTGCTGTTTGCCGCAACATCTTGAGCTTAGGCACAATGTCACTTTAACAATCACATGTTCTAAATGTAAAAAAGTGGTTGTATTGTATCATCAATGTTAAATTATTCCAACCAGCTGTTCGTAACGAAGTCTATCACAGGAACTCTCGAGGTGTCGGGGCACCAAAGCCCAGCAACTTCCAGAGCTTATCGTATGATATCACTCTATACCATCTACCACCACCCACCACCCAACTGTTGCAAAAATAACAACTCGACAATCTGTCTATTTCAAGCGAGTTAGCTTGAGATGGTCTTGAACAGAACAAATCGACATGGTCACCAAATATTTGTGATGTGTGTGTATATTTCAGAAACCCAGTTTATAAGCACCACCAACCTCACCAGCCACACTACCCCCCATCCTCCAGATACCCGCCAGCATATGACGATGCAGGCGTTTTCCCCGAAGAGAAGTGGCTTTCTGGGACAAGCTTTTTAGATAGCGGGCCAGCCAAGGGGTCCCCACCCTGTTGAGGAAGGAATAACCCGAGGAGGTTCATACGGCTCTTCCTATTACAAATATGGAGGGTTGCAGCGCGAGCTGCGAAAATCATCATGATATACGGAGGGGGGGTTGGATGAATATGATGAGGACCTGGAAAGGGAGGACAGGGAGGAAAAGTAGAAACGTACCACTTGAAATGTTTGCTGAGGGGAGAGCCGGCTCGTGACGGGTTGGTTTGGGTACCTGTAGGAGGACAGGATGAGGAAGCAAGCAGAGGAAGATGAGAAGAGGGAGGAAAAGGCAGATTCAATAACGACCGCGCCCGCTAAGCTGAGCGAGCTCTCGCGAGCAGGCCAAGCCAACGAGCGGCAAGCAAGTACCGATTTCGACCCTTAATCGTTCATCATCTGTGCTTCCTCACACGCTCCATCAGACCCAATCCGATCCGTCCGACCGACCGACTTCCCCGACTGTGATGGTACCAGTCCGTGATGGACAGACCACCCACAACCCCCCAACCGAAACTCCTTCAAGGCGCGCCGTGAGGCGTCATGCAGAATTTCTCATAGCATTGTGTCGATTGAACAAGTGGTCGATTAAGCCATCGGTCGTCCACGGTCGTTGCGTAGTGCGAGATAAGATCGCGGCGCTGTTGTGAAGAAGGACTTGTTCGGATCGCCCGCAGCCAAAGAAAAGAAGAAGATAAAAAAAATTGAAACGGGCGAGGTCGGGAGGAAAAGTTTGTAAGAGGTGCAAAAAAGTGGCTCATGCTCTAAGCTAGGAAAGAGACCCCACCACAAGTTGCAAGGACTGGAGCTTCGTGCACGGATCATAACGATCGAACGTAGCAACGCTTTTGGTAGGGACGATCCCCTGCCGCTCCGTCAGCCGCTATTAGTACATACAGTAATGTCCCCAGTTAATGCAACTAATGCCGGAAGCCGGATTTCTTAGCAAAAGGGGGGTTTCAGCGAAGGAGGGGAGTTAGCATCAGCAGGAGAGATGACTGTGCTGTAGGGTTCTACTGGTGGTGAAGCACGGGTAAGGTAACGGCGACAACGACCGTCGAGTCCGGCCGGGAGAATCGGGCGTGCAGGGGCAATGCTGGCTGTAAATCATTGGTATTATGGTAGTTCAGGTCAGGAACTTGAGTACGGAGAGGAAGCAGAAATGAACAATGTCAGCAAGGGAAAGCACATGGAGTTGACACAGGTCGAGAAAAAGGCAACGCATTTGTCATCAATGGCTATGGAAGAGACTATGAATTTTCAAGTGCAGTTCACGGTCGAATACCACCCATGTAGTGTTTCTAGCATGCAACACGGTTCGATTCAATCAGTGAAAGTGTGTGAAGTGGGAAGGAGGAACTGAGTTTGCCTAAAAGAAATACTATAACACCATAACAGACAAACACACCTCTACCCTTCCTTCGCAGTTTCGTTTTTGCATCTGCCACTCTCAAATCCCACTTGATCAACCGTAGGCTCGCATTCATTACATCATAATATAACACAGAAGGACACAGGTCCTTAAATCGCTAAAACCCATTCAAACTCGCTGATAAAATCATACCCCATCCCGCCTCCAGTAATCCACTGAGTAGAATTGACTGTCATATTCTCTTTTACATCTTGGTTTTGGTATCAGCAGTGCACCCAAGGTTCCAACCTGTACTCTGTGGATAGGTGGGCCCAGGAACCTCCGAGTCCAGTCGCGCGCATAGAGCTTCATGATACAGTGGATCGCGTTCTCCCCAACTTGTCTGATTTAGAAGTAAGCATTCATATCATGCGAAGTCCAATCACTTGGATAGGCGTGCAAGATGTCCTGAGATGATGGCTGGGAATAGCCGGCAGCCATGCTCGGGATGTCCACGTTCGCGAAAAGTGATTCAGTGAATGTGGGTTTTGAGTAGGCGTCGGTGGTGGGAGGATACAAGATGAAGTCTCCAGGGACATTATTGCAGTTACTCATGGCAAAATCGTGATCCTCAAAGCCATCATCAACCTCCCCCAATGAAGTAGGGGGCGTGAAAAGCATCGTGTTTCCTTGCCCAATGGGGGAAATATGGGCGGGATGTGGCTGGCAGAGGTCGGGCGCGGTGTACGCGCCGAGATGCTGTCCCATGTCTTTAAGGTAGAAGGGAGAAATGACTTGGTTGGGCAGTTGCATAGTCGCACCGTAGATGTCATCAATGAGCGTGAATTCGTTGAGATCTTGATACGCAGAATTGTGGTCCATGCCAGAATCCGGTGATGGAGTGCCGTTGTCAATGGGTGAATAGTCAAGCTCAAGCTGCTGCGGGATGGTGTTGAAGTTGAACTCGGGAACATATGCAGGGAACTCGATGTTGGTCTGGTACAGCCCAGCGTTCCAATCATCGGAGGGAGTGGCGATGCTCATACTGCGGTCGCTCGAAGGGGTACCAATGTTCTGCAGCTGGGGAGTGGGGTGGCCGGAATCGGGCCCCAAGCTGGGAAGCGTACTGGGCTTCTTGCCATTGGTTTTGGTCCTAACGTACGTCCAGCCATGGGCCTTTTCCATATGCTGCTTGCAGTTGGACTCGCGCTTGGACTTGTAGGGGCAAGGCTTGAAGAGGCACTCGTACATAGGTGGGGCTGAGGAGTGCTTGTCGTTGTGATGACGATCCATTTCCTTCTCGGTGGGCCAGCCGTACTCGTGGTACTTGCATGTCTTGACCGGGCACTTCCATGGTCTAGAATGTGTCTTCTCGTGCTTGGTCAGGTCACAAGGGCGCTTGAACTCCTTGTTGCAACCAGGCTCGCGGCATCTCTTCGGCGCCAGCTCCTCAGGGCTGGCGTTCTTCTTCCGGCGAGCCATGGAGCGCATAACCTCCTCTTCATCCAGGGCCTCTTCGCTTTGGGAGCGCTTGAAGTTTACCGGGGTTTCTGGCGCCTTATCACAAAGGTCCACAGGCAATCCAGTAGCCAAGGAGATGGCCTGTCCGTTCTTCTTCACGCGGACCAGTTCCGAAAGCCTGCCGTTGATGTGAGGGCCACCGTGTATCTTGATTTGATCAGTGCTAAAGTAAACGTCAGCGCAAGCCGCACAGTTGCAGGAGAAGAGAGAATCGTACGGATCAATATCCATGTCATTGGCGCCTTCCTTGGTCTTGTTGCTTTCCGCGATCTGCCGGGCATAGTTATAGAATTGATCAACGAGATCAACAAAATAACCGCTAGTGTAGGGGAGATCGCGAGGGCGAGTCAGCTCGCGGTCGCCAAGGTGCTGGACAGTTGCCTGGAGGCAGTCGATTGTCGTCAGACAGAAATCGAGGTATGAGCCTGCAGCTTTGGTCCTCTCCTTTGACAGTAGCGCACGGTAAGTATTCATCCTAACATCCAAGGGATCCTTAAATTCGCTTACCGGAGCCACGAGGATCAAAGTCTTCTCAAGATCTCTTAGGCACAAGATCTCCTTGTCCTGGATCTTTTTGGGACACTCAAGCACAAGCGAGTGAAACTCTTTCAAATTCGGCTTTGCAAGCAGAGGCTTCAAAATGTATTCAACGATGCGGTTGGTAGCACGGTCCCCAAGGCCCGGAAGATCAGGTGTTGATGCTGCGCGGGCGGTAGCGGATCTGGCGACAGCCGAAGTCCTCGTCGTCTTGGCCTTGGAAGAGGCATCCTTCTCGGAAGTAGAAGCAATCGAGCTTCCTAGACCGCTGTCTGAATCGTGGTGCCGAGACGAACGGCGTGTCCGTGGACGGAGCATCCGGCGCTCAGGCTCAACCTCCTTGGGCATGATAGGCGAATCCAAGTTTCTTTCAAGCAGCCCACGAGGCGGAGGAATACACTTGTCACTACGACTAGCCGAGGCAAAGGTGTCATTTGAAGAGGCCAATTGCCTCTCGATCGCATCCAGAGCTAAGGCAACGCGGCGGCAGCGGGAGTCGATAACATCGTCCAAGTTGGTGTGGGAGCGGCGAGGGAGCGACGGCGGGACGAAGACGCGCTCAGAAGAATCCCCCGAGGCTGGAGTAGTGGGAGAGTGGAAGGTAGCTCCCTTTTGTAGGAGCATGTTCGTCTTGAGGGTCAATCCACCCGCCGGTCTCCTGCGAGGGTTCGACATGTTTGCTGAGTTGTGTGGAGTTGATGGGCTATGTTGTCGACTGTTTTCTCTGGTCAGTCCATGAACTCTCGAAAACTTGCAAAGTAAGGAGGGGCATGGGAGACCGAGGACGTCGTGTGAGTCACAGGGAATGGCAGTATGCTACACCGGATGTATCATAACGACGTCCCACACTTTGCTTTACCCCTATCAAGACGAGGCAGGACAGGATTGGCCAAGGACTGTGGAGGTAGATGTCGGGGCGGGATAGATGCCAGCAGGCGGGTTTTATCTTACTTTGATGAGATGGCACGAGCTGACAAATACCTGGCAGCCCGGCGACTTTGACCTGAGTCTGAGATATCTTGGAATCCCGGACGTCAAGGCTGGTTGTTGGGTTGAGGCGCTGGCGATAGGATCACGATAGCAGGCGATGGAGGCGGCGATCGAAACAGGAGAAAGATGGATCGTGGAGAAAGGTGCGGTAGCGTAGAGTAGTGGAATTGGAAAGAAACCTAGAAAGGGTTGGGTATCGGGTTGGTATTCAGGCTTGGTATCAATAGCAGGCTGTGTTTGCTGTACTTGGCTAACACGTCGGGTATGTCGTTCAAACTGTGGTGAATGGGGATAATAGCAGTGATCGAGTCTAGTCCGGATGACCCGGGGCAGAACACCGGACGAAAGCAACAGGCAGGAAAGACCTGGGTAGAGTAAAAGGGTTCAAAGGAGGATGCTGTGGTGGATGGCGAGGGAGGAAAATGGATCGTGAACGGGAAGCGAAACTGACGGTCACAGAGTCGAAGCTGGGGAGAGGATGGGTGATGAGAAATGGAGAATGGAGCGAGGCCGAACGTTGCTGCCTGCTGACGGACTAGGGTCCGGGTGGGTCAAGCGGCGCAGCTCCACGCTAGCGTCCCCGCCATTGGATGGAAGTGGTTGAGCGCGGATCCTTCTTTTTGCTCTTGCCCACGCCAACACCTGTGCTTGGGCTTTTTGCCTTGGGGTGTTCACGGTGCCAATGCCACACTCGATCTCTTTTTATGGCAACCCCTCTATCACTCTCGCTCTCGAGTCTGTCTTCCCTTCTCGTTGGCACTGCTGCACCTCCCGCTTTTCTGTTACAGAGGCTGTTTGCTGCGGCGTTGGTTATGGTATGGAAATGCCACTTAAGCGATGTTAAAGCGAGACATTGACGGCAATATATCCGCTGTGCTTACTCTGCCGACCAACAGCCAATTGCATTCAAGCAAGCATCTCAGCTCCACCGCAGTGTGTCCCTTGATTATCCGATGACCAACCCACAAACCCATGTCAGCCCTGTCTGGATGCACCTCATTTCGGGACCACACGCGTCTCCCGGAAGTCTTCCACTAGCAAAGCCAATCTTCGCAACGAAGACTTTTGGCAGGGCTATCAGGTACTGTACAAGACCTGGGAAAGTCGGCAATCGGCATGCGAACGATGCCAACAGTGAGCACTTCTACGCTTATTCACACCTCACCTTCCAACCAAGAGCAGCCAAGATCTCCTGATGCAGTCGACTTCTTTGTCTGCTGCCCGTTTGTCATTCTGAATTTTCTGTTACTGGGGACGCGTTCGACAACAAACGCTCAAAGGAAACCAGGATTCTGTTGCTAATGGCGACCGGCCGAGCTCCTGAACACGTAGACAATTGGACGGCGGAATTCTGGGACATCCCTTTTCCCCCACGGCCACTTATCTATCCATAACCCACATCCTCCCAAGCAAAGAGAAGGTGAAGGCGGCGCAGGACATCGCCGCAATCAGTGTTGCAACAGTGACTACAGTTGTCAATGGGTTCCAGGCATGTTCTGGCGACTTCAGCCCTGTAAGATATCCAGGAGTGTCGGTTGTGAGAATGCGCAGCATATGCGCGCGCTCCTAGTGTACATTGTGGTGTAACATCGCGAGTGTCTTGCTGGCTGTCTGGTAAACCCCAGGCGCTGAGCCACCGCGATAGGCGGGCACGAAAGTCGGCGTACCACATCATGATAGGACGCCGGGTCCGCCCTTGTGAGAAGTTCCGAGTCTGATTTGCTGACGGGCCAAATTTCTTAGTGCCATCCAAACATGGAACGTTTGTTGTCTGCGCAATGGATATGGTATCATGCAAATCTACCCCACTCCCCAGTAGAACTTTGCATATCCCTTTAACTGCTCAAATGTATCATTTTTGCCAAGACCGGGGAAGACTTGCAGTACTTCGTGACTTTTCCGCCGCAGCCAAGCAGCGCGGATCAGGTATCCATGCAAAAGATCGGCAATGCGAAAAGTGTCCTTTTCGCTAATAAAACCAATAATTCTACATTAGCCTTTAGAGTATTAGGATAGAGGGATATAATCCTTTTGTCGAATGCAAATATTATAAGATTTGTGCCTGTTGTGTTGAGGTTTGAAAAAAAAAATCGTGTTTTCGTTTTGTGCGCGACGAGGGTGATCCTATTGGTTGACTGGTCTCCATACCTGAAGTGCTACAAAAGTTGGCGAAATTCAGGTATCTGCATGGGTGCAGATGTAAAGGTGGATAAAATACGGCCAACCGATTGTCCACTTTTTGGTCTTGGCGAAAATGATACATTTGAGCAGTTAAAGGGATCGATACCTGGAGCTACACTGACAGGGGTGAAACTGGGCCCCCAATCTGAGCCGCTGCTGCGTCTCGAACCCTTTGCCCCCAGCCTGAAAGATGAAGAGGACAGATTGATTCACAGACGACCATTATCGTACTGCTTTCCACTTTTCTTCTCGTTATTGTCGTTACTGTGAGCCTTCTGTGACAAGATGCTCTCTGTCTAAACCCAGACATTGGGTATGGCATTCAGCATTTTCAATATGTAGTCCTGGGGCTATCCCCAGACCAGCTATCTTGAAAATGCTGAACTACCCAGCTTCTATCTCTTGGATGATCTAGAGGCCGCACGCCGCGGTGAGCCAAGTCGTGAAGCTTATTGGTAGTGTACAAGAACGACGTGTGCGCAAGCTTCTCCCCTTTATGATCTAGTAACTCCACCATGATGATACCCCACCGAGCACCCTTCAGCCCTATGGACTATCATCGAGTCAGACTTCACGACACATGTAGGACACTAACTGAAGGCCCTGACATCCGGTCTACTTACATACGCATCTACAGCAGGACAAATTATCCTTACAGCCGTCCGGCTGACACTCGAAGGTGCGGTCTATGCACCTGGTGGATAAAAGCTACAATTTCGCTGGGATTCCTGGGCTTCTTCTCAACCACAACAATCATATTACCTAAAATTCATCACTTTCTTGTTGGAGACACCTCTGCCAGGATTGAAGAAGAAAAGGTTCAATTCTTGCAGTTTTCCAGCTCGGGCCAGTGACAAAGACGGATTCTTGCAGAAGGGTAGCCCGGCAGAGGTGTACAGCCGATGTATACGTATGTTGTCAAATGCACGTGCCGCAAAGACTTGAGCCCTCCGTTTTCAGCTGACAGAACTTAGTCGCATCATCAGTACATTCGAGGCACCTCTAAGCATTGCAGACTGCTCCAATTTCTTCCCAAACACAAACTCTGACGCACCTAATACGTAGATTCTGTCAGTTAGGCCCTGTTCGCCGATAACAAAGGGCTTGAGTCTTTTCGGTACGTTCACCACTAACAAGCCGCTTGCAGAGGTCTGAGAGCGTGTGTATTTAGAGGTATGGACGATAGAGAGTCTAAAGAACTGGAAACCTCCAGATACACATTCTGGCAACCGAATTCAGCCCCATAGTTCCTTATCAATCCCGCAAGGCTTGGATCTCGTCAACCGGAGATCATGGTCTAGCATTACTTTGTCTGAATATCCCTGTCCGTGATTGAGACTGTTGGATATCGCATGAGAAATAAACGTCTCACACACGGTAGCAACGGTAGGGGAGAGCACGGGGTTCGTCATTGGTTGACGTTACAGGACATCGACTATATGCACCTATTGTGGTTATCCCGACGAACCACTTACTTGCTCTCGGCTTTGGACTACGACCAAGTGAATCAAACGACGCATCAAACGACTGATCTAACTCTCAGGCAGCTATATTTTTCGACTGGTGGAAGTGTTCATCACCAGACTCTGGAAGCGAAGAAAGGCACTGATCAAATGGGGGTGGAGAACGTACCCAGATTGTGAACCGTGGACATTGGCGAAACTGAGTGTACCAATGCTTCCGTCTAGGTCTGCTCTTTATTTTCCTTCGTCTCCGCCTAGAATGACAACATAGAGAAAGCTTCTCGAGTTGTAATCTAGTCGGCATTGCACCGATGTCAGCATTTGGGGGCCATTCCGCCTGAACCCTTGAACATTGGGCTTATACGGCTCTTTACATCTCTGTTGAACTCCTCAACAGGCAGCATTTGTAGTGCTTCACTGTACAGCCCGTAGGAGCCTGAGCGCTTGACGCTCCTGTGCCTAATTTGTTGTTTGCTTTCGGGCTTTGTTCGGTCTTGTTTACGCTGCTTCTACTCTAGGACAGTCTAACCATAACTCTTGGTTGTTAATGTAACCTTTCTCTAGACCGCATTCTCTAACATGCAGCCGCGCATCTGGCAGACCATGCATTGACTGTGTTTGACATTGTGAAGGATATTATATAGCTTCTTCCAGTGAGAGGAGATTAAAAACCAGGCGCCAATTTGGCTCACCAGTTTCACGCCTTCGGCGGCTTCTTCATATTTAGGTGCTTTGTGTTAGGACCAGGGGAAAAACCAAGTCCAACCTGCTAGTGATTTTTGGACGGGTTTATCTTTTACGGCCTTGGTAAGTTTCATTTTCGCCCAAACGTTCGTAGGCGAAGTAGAAGGAGACGAGCTTAAGGTGATGTGGGATGACTGAATTGATGGGCGCTATGAAAGGACCTAGATCATGGATTACATCAAGAATAGCAACTTTGCTGACAGAGTTGTTTGTTTCACAACTGCCCTTGAGCATCTGTCAACAGCTACCGATGATAAAGAAATATGTCCAGGTCAAAGACCCGTGCCGCTCTAAGAC